GCAGCATGCCGACGCGGCCCCGGGGGCCGGTGAGTCAGAGCGGCTGTGTCAGCGGAGCCCGAGCTGTGCCGTGCGCTGCCTCCCCATCTAATCTAATCGTACAGTAGATAACGACATGTCCATATCAGGCAGGTAGTACAGAGGTTGCGGGTTCGAGCCCGCGAAAGGGAAAAAATTAAAAAACGGCTAGGCGCCGTATCAACTCGTGACATATAGTTTGGCCGGTCGAGGTAGGGCAGCTCCTTCCTCGAAGTCAATACCATGATCATATGGTTTGCGCTCCGGCATCCGCTCCGATTTCTTTTGTGAGAATACGTCCCCGAACTCGTGTAGATATTCAGGGATGAGAGACTTCCACTTAGTGGTGTCTGCATCCTCCTCCTCAACATCCTTGTTCAGAATGCTTGCGACAAATTCTGCCATTTGTAGGTCCTCTGGATCGTCTGTCGAGATCCAGTTGATGTATGGATTTTCAGTACACTCCTCTCCTAAAGCATCCAGCGGAGTGACTAAGGGTTCCTCCCTTGGTAACTGAAGCTCGTCGGTTTCTTCATCAGTCACACAATTAGTTTTACGAGCTTTGGGGGCACAGCTCTCAGGGCACCTGGTGTACCTCCACTCCCCTTTGGCCCAGTCGATCTCGGGATTGTGTTTCCTGAGATAGGTCATGCCAAGGATCATGTCCTTTCTTCCCAAATCTGCGACTAGCAGTGGGTGTGTCGACTTATGTGATCCTATTTCGATGTAGGCTCTAACGGACTTATTTATTTGACCGCTTTTATTGGAGGTCCCGTCTGCATTATAAACGTTGTACGGGGTTGCCAGCTTATGCGTCACCAGGCTGTTACTTTCAACAACTGACCGATTGATGAACGATGTTGTGGCCCCTGAGTCTACCAAAGCTTCGACCTGCACTTTCTTTCCGTATACCCACAGTGTCACAGGCAGAGTGAATGAATTCTTGTTGCGAGAGATATTTACAAGACTGCTGTGTACACTATCTACATTGATTCCGACGGTGGGTTCCGATTCCTTAAGTACATGTTCGCAGGTAGTCACATGTACTTCTTCCAAAAATCCGAGGTAGCTGCGGTGGGTTCTGTCTTTGCAGACAGCTGGGGTTCATCCTTCCCAGCCAGAGTCGATTCCTCGACGTTCGCAATCTCCTCGATTCTCGCAGTGTTGGCGCTCACGGCTTTCGTGGACGGGGGCGTGTTGTCCTCGCTATCCGTAAGCTCGACTTGAATAACCCGCGTTTTCTTAGCCTTCTTGGCCGCGGGGTTACCACTTCCTCCTTGTGCCTTCTTAGCGCCATCCACTTGGGTCTTCGGCCGCTTGTCCGCATTTTTTGCCAACTTGTAGCAATCATCTGTGTTATGAGTTTTCGACTTGCAGATGACGCAATACTTCTTTGCCTCTGTCGAGGTGGCCTCAGCGTCCCTTGCCTTGCCTTTGCCTTTGCCCTTCGATTTCGACTTTTCAGCCAAATCGATGTCCATGGGAACAGCGCCGCCGTTATCCGAGCCACTGTTCTTGAATACTGAGCCTCGTGCCTTCTCCGGGTTGACGATCTTGTTGATGTTGAGCAAGATGTCGAGGAACAATGTCCAATCCTTTGGCAAGGTGGACTCGTCCTTTCTGGCCAACACCAACCGCATGTCACGAGGTATAACCTCCCGGAGTTTGTCGATGAGGAGACTATCGTCATACTCCGTGAGACGTCCGAGGGTGCGGAACCTCTCAGCGTACTTCACAAAGTCCTTCGAGGCCAGATCCTTATTGA